AGGAGAAAGAAAACTCCCTGTGATTCCAGTAACATGTTGTGTCCACTGGCTGGACGTCTCCTGCCAAATGCTTTGGAATTTTAGTTTTATGTCTCTCCAGGGACAACTCAGGCTTTTTAAGTCTGATGTGAAAGAGGATTTCTTGGTGACCATGGGACTTCCGTGTGGCTGCTCAGCAGGGCCTTCAAGACCCTTGAGAATACGTGGGGTCCCACAGCTGGGGGTCACCAGGGAGACAAGGGGCACGAGGAGGAAGAGACAAAGGTACGTGATGAGTTACGCCCAGAATGGCCTCGTGAGCAGGGGCTTGTGGGAGACGGAGGCAGGGACACGGAGGAGGAACGTCTCTGAGGGCTTAACCCAGGGGGGAAGCTCAACCCGTCACTTATTTCAGCATGTGCACTGACACAGGAGGGGATAGCACAGGGAAAGCCAGGCTCAGGGGGTCTTCATAAAGAAAGGCTCAGTGTAGATGTGAGTGAGGAGAAAGTGTTTCTGAACTGCTGCCTAACTTTAGTGATTAAACTGAGCCTGTTCTTTGAGAGACGAGTTGCTGCTTCTGATAAAGAGTGAGGAGGGGAGATTTGGCTATTGTTGGGCTTCAGAGAGAGAAGAGGCTGAGCATTTCTGCCCAGGGAGAGGCCAGCTCTCAGCCAGCGGAGTGCTTTAGACCTGTCCTAAGGCAGAGCTGGAACCAGGGCTCTCAGACTGCAAGAAGCAAACAACAGGGCTGTGGCAAGAGGTCAGCCGACCCCCCCATGCCCCCACCATACAAAATGCCGGGATATCCCTCTCTCCTGTATTGGGAAACACAGGGGAAGATGCAGAGAAGCTGTTAGCTCTGTGGATCAAAGGGAAGGCACGGAGCGCCGTGGCGCGTGAAGAGCTAGCTCCTGGTTTACAGTGCATCCTCGCTGGCTTCCCTGAGCAGGAGCACCCACTGCCCGTCTGACAGGAGGCTGGACGTCAGATGGTAGGAGTACGTGACCAAGAACAGCAGAAGGAATACAAAGAGTGGGCAGTAAGAGACATATGCTGATCAAAGAGGAATTTAAAGAGCCTAGGGAAGGATAAAGTTATCAGATCTTGGTCCAGATGCTTTAGAAGCAACAGTTTTAAATGAAAACCAAGGAGCCATATCTATATCTAGAACTTAGCAAGGGTGATAAAACTGCAGAAGCCTCAGCATGCAATGCTGTGGGGAAGTTAGGCAGTATGGCCAGAATCCCCGTAGCCCTTGGGTTGTGGCAGCATCAGTGTCCACAGGCAAATGCCCAGGACCCTTCCCCAAATAGAGCCCAGGCCAATTCAGGCACAGCACGGAAGGAGACGCACTCAGAGAGGCATTCCAAAACTCCACCTTCTAGAGCCCTGGAGCCAAGGGAGGGCCCTGCATGGCAGCCACTGACTTGCTTCCTTGAACTAGGGAAAGGAAGAAGGTGTTAGGTGACAGATATCTCTGTCCCAAGGGGCTGGAGAACAGGAGGCCCACGAACACAGTGTGAGGAGGGAGTTGCAGCCCCTAGGGACATAAAGGTCCTCATAGAGACCCTCCCACTCAGCCCGGTTTGCTGGCTGCCACCCACAGCCAACCCAGCCAGCCTGAAACACACTCAGACTTTCTAGTAACCATTTATTCACCCACCCAGCGAGTGTCATAATTCCTGCCAAGTGAGTGTGCAGACATGGATTTCATGTATTGAACTGACTCTCTAAATGCATGTTAAGACAAAACAAGGCACCGGCCCTGTCGATTTTTATACACGCCCACAACACAGCACTAACTTCCTAAGCACAAGAGGTAAGGCCTACCTGGATCTTTCAGGGGATGAAAAAGCATCATGTGAAGCCTTGATAGGCGTGAGCCTGAGGGGGCCCTTTAAAGATCCTAAAGCAGAAGTGAAGGAGGTGAGCTTTAGAGTCAAGAAACTCAACTTCACTGAGACCACCATCCACTAAGCTGCTGCTCTGGGAAGGCCCTGAGCCAGTGGGCACCTGGAGTCGGGGAGGGTGCAGGAGGGGTGATGGCTGATGTGCACGAAGAGGGTAAGAAGTCATCCCCTACCCTCAGAGACCTGGGCAGAGAGGAGTCAGGCAGGACCCATCTCCTCAAAGCCCAGGGTAGCATAATCTCAAAGCCCAAAAAGCCACAGGTGTTGAAAGAAGAAAGAGGTCACATCTGGGGCAGAGAAATCAAGAAAGCTTCATTTTGGGTAGGTCTAGAAGGAGGGGGAATGATTGACAAAGTCCAGTGTGCCTGTTTATTTTATGACCTTGTTTCAAGGTCAAATCACAAGCCTGAGGTTCTGTTTCATCTGCCAAGTGGGATTGACGTCTCCTTCCCACTTTTCAGTTCCTTGGAAAAGCAGGTCTCTGTAAAGCCATGTACTGTTATTACCCTCAGGAGGAATGCCAAGAACAGAGCTCTGAGATCTCCCACCCTCGGATCTGAGCCCAGCCTGAGCACGCACAGTGGACCGCCTTGGCCAAATGCAGTCCCAGCCAATCCCCAGAGCTCTGGTGGGAATGTGTTTAATTGGATAGCACTAGCTTTGAGTGGGCCCAGAGACTATGTCATCTGACAATTGTCAGACCAGCTCACTGCAGAGCCCTGCACCTGGCATAAACAGGGGCTAGCCAAGGGGTGTCTGAAGGTGCAAACAAATTAGATTAGAGACAGAGGTGCCCTCTCAAAGTCCTAATTTTCTTTCAAGAACCAGTCCCAGTCTGACCCCTCTCTTCTAAGCCTTCTCGTCGCAGCCCATACCTGCACAGACGGTAGCTTTCCCCTCGCTCCACCAGACTACCTGCGTTCTGGTTGTTACGTACATGCCTGCTGGTTTCCCACATGAGCCCAGGATCCTCTGGGCAGCGCCCAGCATAGCACGTTGCACACAGCAAGTGGCCAATAAATGTTGCTTGGTTAAAGATTACAACCTCTCCCCTTTTTCTTCATCAGGCAACCAGAAGACCTTTCTCAAGCCTTGTGACAGTGCTTGGAAGTTCCAGGTCAGGTATTTTGGAACTGGGCCTAGCCCCATCCCAGGTGGCAGGGACACATTTCCTGAGGGGCTGCGAGGACTAGCCGGCAGCCCAACCCACAGGGAAGAGTTGAGGGCCCTTTTCTCTGGTGCTCCTGAGACATCTCAGGAGCCCAGAGGCAATTTCATTTTCCTCCTGCCATGGCAGCCCCAACTCAGCCTTCCTCACCCAGCGGTGCAGCTGCTTCCACCAGGTCACGTGCCCTAACCCTCAGTTCCAGCAGAATGGCCTGAAGGGCTCAAAGGGTTGAGAAAACTGCCCTGTAGGACCTGACCTTTTAGCCTGGGACTGGTTCGAAAGGAGAATATAAAAAGCACACAGAAGACGTATCGACGACTGTGTTTGGAAATGTTCTGTGATGGAAATCTAAAACCTAGAACTGAAAGAAAGTCTTACCTTTAACCACAAAGAGGTTCAGTCTGATTCAGCGGCTTGGAAACTGGTATCCAAAAACAGCCCAGCCGGTGGGCCAGGAAACGTCTAACCTCCCACAGGCTGTGGGCCTTCAATTGTCTCTCTCAGACGTGCTGTGGGGTGGAGGGTATAAAACCACCCAGGAGAGGGTATTCCCCTCCCCCCAAACCACCTCAGGCTACCTGAATACTTATTTCCAGCCAGCAAAAGGGGCTTGACCATGTTGACACAAAACAAAAGGGCCTTCTTAAACCTCCCGAGCATGTCTGAGGGTGACTCTGCTGTCACTTGCCAAGTTACCTTACCCAGCCTTAGCTTTCATCTCGGCTCTCTTTGATCACCCTCCCTCCATCGCACCCACCTGGCTCTCTCTTTCTTCCTTTAGCAAATAAATGCCCTGGAATGGTTCTAAGGAATGACTAGCCAGAGCAAGTCAAGATTCTAGCCAAGAGCCAACCGAAGGTACAGACACAGGTACATCAGAAGAACAAGGCTCCAGAGTTCGAGACCCAAGTGACCCACTCAGGCTGAGCCTGTTTTCTCATCTGTGGAACCGACCAAAATTCCCCCAGAGCTCTTCTCAAGAGTAAACGAGGAACATCCGCCAAGCGCGTGGCCCACGGCGGGCATTCGGTTAGTATTTGCTGAATAGGCCCATGGCACCCCCCATTTATCTTCCCTGCGCCAGCCACCCTACACAATTTCCCCAGCCCCAAGGTCTTCCCTTAAAAACAGACTCCTTCCTCCCCTTCACATAATAACCTAGGAACTCTCCTTGGAAATCTAAAACACTTCACTGCCCCAAGGGTAACTGAAGGTGCTCTGAGGCTGTCCAGGAGCAGTGGAAAAGTGGCCTGGCAGAAAGAACACCAGGCGAAGAATCCGAAGGTGTTACTTAGGTCACTTCTTTCAGTCCTTAAGTATTTTGGATGTGCCGCACAGGATGATCTCTAAGCTAAATTCCAGCAATGGCCTCCCTGAGGCAGCCTCCCTTTGGGGGAAGTTCTCCTCAACTCTCAGTAGTTTGAACCTTAGCTCTCTTGGAATCAGCTGGTCAACCATCAGCCTAAGAAAGCAGCACTTGACACGGCTACTCCTCCACCAGACCAGCCTTCTCCATAAGCCTCCCCTCATAGTGATGTTTCTACTGCCCAAGGCACAGCTGGGAAGGGACGGTTCGTCTGAACTGACTGCACGAATCACTTCCCCCTTTGCTACCATGAATCTGAGAGTCCACAGCAGCCAGGGTGACTAATTAATAACATTGGCTCATGTTTCCTGAGCCTTTACTGTGCCCCAGGGACTGCAAATCCTTTATGCACATTATCTCATCATGTTGAATCTTCACCACAATTCTATGAGGTAAGGACTATCAATGCCCCATTTTACAGATGAAGAAACTGAGGCTTACTGGCATTAGGGGACTTTCCCAAGGTCACATAGCTCTTATAAGCAGCACCGGGATGCAGAACCAAGTCTGCCTCCAGCCCCAGCAAAAGCCACTAGGCTCTAAAGAGACAGAAGGAAGCCAGTAGTGAACTCACCTGATAGGAAAGGCCATCCTTTCGGGGGTTGAGGCCAATCTCCTCCATGGATGGGGTGTTCATCATCACCTCAGTCATCTCGGCTGATCTCAGATAGTCAGGGCTGCCAAGAAACCCAGACCAAAAGTCAACAAACATAGGCACTTTCACATTCCTACTCTCGGTGCATTCTGCTGTTAGATCAGGGGGCTGTCTGGAGGCAGGATGAGAGATGCTCAAAACAGAACTCTCAGAAAAACAAGCTCACACCCCAAGGAAGTGCCTTACAAGCCCAGAGCATCAGGGCTCTCAACCTCCACCAACAAAGCCCATTGTCTGAAAACCTCTCTGGCAAATCTCTCCCCTCCTCTCCTGTACTAGTCTCCACTGGCACAGAGCCACTCTGGATTTTCTTTTAAATGACAGAAGCAGAAAAAACAGAACAGTAGGTAGTTGAGTCTGTCTGTCTATATTAAAACCAATTCAACCCTTCTCCAGAGGTACTACATAGTATTATTATTACATAATAATAACAGGTCAACCTCAGGGAAACAAAGTCCAATAATGTTGCTGTCCTAAATTTTTCTTTGTCTCTCTAGAGTTCCTTCTTGCAAAATGTCCCACTTAAAGCCCCAAGGGGTCGGCTTTCTGCAAGCTTCACATCTGCCATCCAAGCCCTTTCTCTAGCCCCAGCCACAGCAGCTGCAAGCTCACAGCTTGAAAAACATCCCTGGATTAAAAGCCTTAAGGATGCCTGGACTCTGATTGCAAAGGAAATTTCCAGAGGGGCCAAGCTGGCCCACCATGGGCTGACATGTGAAAGTGCTTTGTACTCTGTAAGCAGGATACAAATGTTCCATTATCCTCACCCAAGCCTTGGGCACATACAGGGTCCCGAATGCATAATGCCAAATAACACATACCAAAGTCAATGCCCTCGCTACACAACACCCGATATTTTCACCATCATGCCTTTAAACATGGTTAAAAAAAAAAGTGGGGTAGGATTTAGAGGGACTGTATCTAAAGAAACAGAGGTACCAAGCTCTTCTTCATTTTATGTTTACTATATAGGGTAGAAATGGCAATGGATTTGGAAACAGAAGCACTAGGTTCTGGTCCAAGCTCTGACACTCAAGAGCTGTTTGATCTTGAACAAGTCATATAATTTCTCTGAGCCACAGGTGCCCTGTTTGGCACCAGGATGCTAATAACGCATATCTCATAGTTACACTAAAGAGCTAACCTCTGGGAAACAAAACATTGCAAACCATGAAGTGCTAGTCAACTATAAAATAATTCTAAACCTTAATTTCTCAGGGGATAATAACCCTGATGGGCCCTAACATCCACCTTGGCAAGTTATGAGTGGCCAGGGGCACAAAGCTTCCAATAGCCTTCAAAGTCTCACCCACATGGCTGCTCACATACCACGGAGGTGGGGAGGAAGGGGCGCCCGGAAGGAGAGGGGTACGCAAGCCTCAAGAACCGGAGAATTTTTACTTTGAGAGTTCAGTCTCCTCTCTAAGCAGAGCCAGGCTGGGATGGGGGAGGGGAGACTAAGAGAAGATGCTCGACTTCCGGGCAAGTTCAGGGTCAGGAGATCGGACTCCAAAAGCAGTTTCCTCCCAGGTCATAGAAAGGCTGCCGCCGACCCCCAAAGAATTGGACCAGAAGAGCGCCCACAGGTCGCTCGCCAGGTTCTTTGCCTGGTGTAGGGGCGCTCGCTCCTCGCTCCGGGCTGTGGCGCGGACCCGAAAAGTTGAAGCCAGAAGGATGAACTTTCTGATTCCCGGGCTGAGCAGGACTGGGCTGAGCAGGACCGCGCCGAGCTACAGCCTGCGGGCCGGGACCCTCCTCGCCTGCACCTGAGAGCGCGCTCCGGGGCCGCCAGCGCTCGCCCCCCGGCCGCTCCTCCTCTTCCCCAGCGCAGGAAGGAAGCAGCAGCCGGCGCTCAAGTCGCCGCGGCCGGGGGCCTCGCTCCGCAACGAGCTAGGCGCCCGCGGCACATCCCTTCTAGTCCCGATCCCCGGTCTTCTGCCGCTCGGCCGGCCCGGGTTCCTTCCAGCCGAACTAGGCGAACACGGCTCCTCTCTAGCCCGGGTCCCCACAACAGCGCGTCGGGTTTTAGGGGTTATCGAGAGAAAGAGGATCGAGAGGGTGCAGCGTGTGCTTGTGCTGCTGCCTGTGGCTTCTCTTGGTTTACGTGTGGGGAGAGCGTTTTTCCCCCACCCCTCGGAGCTCTGCAAACGCCACCGCTGCACCAGCTCAGCCTGCTGCCGCCGGCCTCGACGCCGAGACTTGCATGCAAACAAAAAGAAAAAGGGGAGGGGCCCGGGGCGAGCAGGAGCCCCCTGCGCCAGGCGGTGCGCGCGCCTCCTGCAGCCCTCCGCATAAGGGATTTTATTAGAGGGGTTCAGGCGTGACCCCTGGTTCTCCCCCGACCCCACCACCACCATATACACACCGTCCCAGCCGTCACTGAAGTGAGGTCTTCGAGTTCACTTCCTTTGTCTGGATGTTCTCAGCACCACCTCCGCACCCCCCCACCCCCCACCTTTGCAACCTTCACGTTGTCTCTTGCACGGGCTGGGGCGGCGAGTTAGCGCCCAGCGTCCGCGCCGCCAGCTGCCCTCGCACCCGAGCCGGCACGAGCCGGCGTCCGAGGCCCGCGGCCACGGCCGCGAGACGGATGCCCGCCGGGGGCGCAGGATACTCACCAGTGAATGGGGAAATAAACAGACATGAAGTCCTAGGGGAGGCTGACCCACGCCCTTGTGATTTAAAAACGGTCACTGCGTCCCAAGTAAGGATGTCACGGGCGCAGACAGGCGCGGCGGGCAGGGACGCAGGCGGCCGAGTGCGGGCACTGGGCGTTCGCCGGTCCACCTTCCGGAGACAGCCCCACTGCCAGCTGCGTCGACAGTGAAGACGGAGCTCTCGGTTCTCCACCGAGCTCGCGGCCCACAAAGAGCCCGGGAAGCCGTATTTATAGGGGCGGGGGCGGGGCTCGGCCCCAGGAGGCCCCGCCCTCCCTCGCCCACTCCTGGAATAACGTCACCAAAATCATGAATGGCTTCAGCGCTTGCTGCTCCTGCGGGCGGCGGCTCGGGGGCGCGCTCGGCTCTGCTCCCCGTGGGCCGTGGTTTGCTGCAGCTTCCAGCCCGGCCTCCTCCCCACGACTCACACACGCACACACGCGCGTGGACACGCGCGCGCACACACTTGCACGCACCCGGGCTGGAGTTCAATGTCAACGCCGCTTCGCGCTCACAAGCCCGCCCGCGTCGGCGACCCCCTTCCTGCACACACCCTGGGGAACTCGGGGACAGAGGACTGTGGCGTGAGGAGGGCGCTGGGGCCGGCTCCGGACGTGACCGCTCGGCGACCGCGCAGAGCCAGGGGAGGGCGCCATCAGTCGACCAGCGCCCTCGTTTGCACCCACTCACTGTCCCCAGCCCATACCTGGGAGACCCCTCTTCAGCGTTCATCCCCCAAACTAGACCTCTTCCTGGCATCCTTGGCCGCAGCACCTCGATCGCTGCGCGGGAGGTGCGTCTCTTCTATCTCACGCAAGCTGCGTGGAAATGAGAGCACAGCTAAAACAGAGGCAGTGGAAAGATAAGAGGGGACGCGGAGCTGCGGGACCGAGTGCCTGCGGGGGTAGCATTAGTTTACAAGGGGCTGGTTTGCAGCACTGAGAACCGTGGAGGGTTTTATTTGTGTGAGAAAGGATGTTGTGTCGTCCTAGGATCTTTCCATTGGACACATAGTCATCCCGCCGGCGGTGCGGGGCAAGGGACGCGGATGGGCGCCGCGCAAGCACAGCTCACCAGCCTTGGCTCCCGGATCTGCTCGAAGCAGGAGAAACAAAGAGCTTCAGCCGGACCCCTCCCACACTGCCCTGGAATTGAATCTCCTGGGGTCCGTCCAGGCGGTCAGGCTGCGCAGCCCCCAGAGCCGGGATGGGAGTGTGCCCCTCTGTGGCTGGAGCAAGTTGCTTCACACCTCAACTTCAAACTCCTGTAAAACGGCTTTATAACCCTGACTTATGAGTGTATTGAGGACGGAGGAATTGGGGGGAAGCGAGGGGGGTCAAAAAGAAGGCAAAGTTAAATGTGCTTTGAAATCTGTCAGGTCTTTGAAAGGTAGTGAATGTATTGAATCCATGTCTTTGCGCTTAAAAGTGGAAACGAATAAACTTATCTCAGGTAAAGGATGACAGGATTCATGGTGAGGATTTAACAGTGGCAGGACCGTGTGGAGGCCCTCATAATTTTCATCAGCCCCACAAGCCAAGGCAAATAAAAGTAATCGCTAAGAATTGATAAGAATGATTAAATTTAAAAAACAACTTTGGTATTTTTAGTCATTCATATATACAAGCTGAGTAAAAACAGTGTACTTCCTGTGAAAACGCAGCTTCAAGAAAAGCCCCTTAGTTGCTCCCTCCAACCAGAGAAATTCCGGAGCTTCTCCCTACCCCCAGCCCACAGGATAAATCAGAAATTGCTTTGTGCTGCCAAGTACCATCTCCATTCTGCTTTTCTAGAGGTAGTGTCCTGATGGAGGGGGATGCAAGTCTTCTGTGGACAGGTGCTAAGGGGATGCTCCAGGTGTGGGTTTACTGCTAACAGGAGGGGCTGTTGTGCCTAGGGTAGGGAAGCTGCTGAAAATCTGAGCGTTGTCATCTACGAAGCCAAAGGAGAAGCCAATGCTTGGAGAGCTGGCTTCCAGGCTGGCCTTCCTGGGGCACTTAGAGGAGAGTGCCTGAGCTAGGCCCTGGGCCGGCAGGACTGACGCCTTCTGCCATCTCTCCCCAGGAGCAATCCCTGGCAAGACCTGGGATAAAAAACTGTCTCACCGCTTTTGCATACCAACACCCCCGTTGCATATTTGTGATTATTGCTTTGTGAAACTTTCAAAACTCAGAAAGCTATCCCCCACGCCCCACCCCCACACACACCTTGTGTCAAAATGGCCTCATTTTGGAGAAGAGGAGGGGAAGTAAGGCCCTTGCCAGCAGATAGCTGGCCTCCGGTAAAATTTCCTACACTGGAGAACATTTGGAGTAAGTTGGAGTGGAAAGTAAGCTTTGGGTTGTGACCCCAAATCTACACTTTCTGTTTCCCCTCTGGAACCACGGTGACACATTCATTCATTTGAAAATATGGGAGACAAGGGGCTTAACTTTGATACAACTATAACAAATATGTCATTTCTCAATCGTAATACTTTATATAGTATCTTGCACGTTTTTCAAAACATTTTCACGATCTTGGCTTTCAAAAGAATGTAATAAGATTAACATAGCACGATTTACAGTCCCCAGTTTACAAAAATGCTAACGGAGGCTGAAATAAACGAGGGGACTTGCCCTACTCTGCTGCATTGCGCTGGGTCACAGCATTCCCTTCATATCTCTCAAGACACAATGTACTTGAACGTGCAGACTAACCGTTTCTTCCCAATATCCTATGAGGTACGTTTCTATCCCTACTGCCTTTGAGTAAATGAAGAAACAGAAACACATGCAAATGAAGTTACATTGGGCCCCAGAACCTTAGAGCTGAAAGAGACCTTCCAAATCACCGAATCCAGTCTCCTCATTTTACAGGTGAGAAGACATCTAACAGATTAAATGGCCTGTCCAAGGTCGCCAGGCTATTAAGTGGTGAAGATGGAACCTAAACGCAGGGCTTCAGACTGATGGTCAAATGTTCTTTCCTCTACAACCCTACGCCTTGCAATGAACTTGCCAAGAAGTCAGCAGCAGAAGTCAAACATACCATCTGGACTGTCAAATCCCCCCCAGTCCACCACCAGCATTTATTGAGTATTTACTGTGTGCTGATCAGTAAACTAAATAGCCCTCTGCACCCCTCCCTTCTCCCACCTTTGTCCCCAGGACTAAAGGGTTGAATTGCAATTCTGCTTCAATAGAATTTCCAGGTGTAACCAGAACTGCCATGCTTTCCAACATTACATAAATCCAGTTTCCCAGCTCCTTCTCTCCCTCACCTAAACTAAGAATTAAAAACAGAATAAAGGTACTGAGCTTTCTATCTTATTAGAGCTACCTCCAGCACCACAGTGCCATGTATGCAGGATACGAGGCTCACTCTTCATCGAGTGAAAAAAAGTCTCCATCCTAATTCATTTAGCAACATATTCCCACACTTGATCTCCCAATTTGCCTAGTAGTGGTGAAGCTGGTCCTTTGGTTAGCTATAAGGGACTTCACAAAGTAGCTGTTTGCTAAGGTACACTCATTTCTGTTAGCACGTTTATGCCTCCCAACAACTTTAAAACATAAGCACTATTGCCCCATTTTGCAGATGCAGAAAGAGAGGCTCAGAGAGGTTAAGTAACTTGGCATGACCACCTGGCTCTCAAATGGCTGAACTTAAATTCAATTCTGGGGGTTGTTGGTTCTAAAGCCTGTGTTTCCTCCACTGTACCATACGTATTCTGGCCTCCGTGGTTTTATTCGTTTGTTTTAACAGCTAAACTATAAACTGAATTCAAAAGCGTTGGTTCCAGTAGCAAAGACCAGGATGACTGGTGTCTACCCAGTGGGGCAGGGCTGGCAGAATACATACATTTCCCACCCTGGGAATCTGAGAGCTTCTTAAAGACATCACTCCAAGGGTTGGGGTTGAAAAAAAGATTGAGTAAGAGAAAGGGAGTTTCTAGCCAATTTTTCGGTGAAACTCATTTGAGTACATAAGAAATCTGAAAGGCAAGAATGTGTGTGGGTTGATGTGAGGATGAAATGAGATAATGTTATGAAAACACTTGGTAAGTTGGAAAGCACTGAGCAGATGCATGGCTTGTTTTTAAGGTATCTGGGGGAAAAGAGGGGTTTCAGCAGAGTTGATTGCATCTGCTTCAGTTTTTCACTCATTTCAGCCACAGACTGCCCCAATTTCCCCTGAAGCCCTTGACTGAAGTTTCCAGCTTTTGGGGAGCAGACATTAGAGGCAGGTAATGAAGCTTTGCCTGGTGGGCACGGCTATGGTCCCAGTGTCCCAGCATCTTCCCTCACACCCCAGGAGTTCCTCCAGTCTTTGGTGCTTCCCAGCAAGTGTTCAGCTGGGTTCTGGGCACATGATGAGCTAGCGAGGCCTGAGAGTGTGGGCATGCTTTCCCACGCTGGCCATTGGGGAATTAGCAGCCCACAATACGAAGCAACCCAAACTCACCAGACGAAATCTTCTGCCTTTGACTGATTTTGCTGTAAGTCCTCAGGTAAGTTGCATGATCTCTGTGTGTCAGACTCCTAAAGCAATAAAGCAGGCAATAGACATCTCTTTTTAGCTCTCAGGGTGCTAACAAGGCCGAGAGAAATTGCTTCTATAAATGCTCAAGAGGAAAGTGCTTTGTGTCCTATCCTCTGGGCTCTGCAGCCCAAAACAAAGCCCATGGATACCCTTGCCATGCACCATCCCAGGAGGCGCCTGCTCTTTCTGCTCAGAAACTTCTCACCCCTAAAAGAAGCCTGGGATCTGGCAGCCCATGAACTCTTGCCTTCCCAAATATCAAAGAGATCCAGCCCTGGCTTTTTCTTTATTTCTATCCAGGGGCCTTTGAACCAAAGAGAATTTTCAGAGAAAAAACTCTATGGAATCTTTAAGGTCCAGGCTCTTAAAAGAAAACACTAAAACTGGAACCAGTTCAAGGCTCTCGTGTCCAATTAAGGAAATAGTCACATTCCTGTCCTGGCTCTGGCTCTCGTGTGCTTTCTCTCTTTCCACATCTACACAGGAATGCACTTTAACAGCCAGAAAAGAGGTTACTGTCACTAGGACACACATCCTATTGCAGATCGCTCCTCGGGGTGGGCTCCGGCAGGCTGATACCTTGCCTGAGTCAGACAAAGGGCACGGAGTATAGAGCAATCCAAATTTCCTTCATACCACTCCCTCCCCCTATTTCACCCACAACTCTGGACCAGAA